GAAAAACTTGAAATGCTGTACAGAGCCAGTGATAGCTGGTTTTGCAATATCCTATGTCCTATAAGTTTATTTAAATCCTATTTAAAGTGGGGTGATTTAATTTTCCTTTAAGGCTTGTTATATCAAAAATACTTTAATTTCTGTTTTGAAATCTATATAGCAGTGATGGCGAACCTATGGCACGGGTGCCAGAGGCGGCACTCGGAGCCCTCTCTGGGCACACGTGCCGTTGCCCCAGCCTCGCCTCCCCCCGTGACCCCCTCCTCTCCAGCAGCCCCCCTGAAGGAGAGTCACCCCTGAGGGTGGCCCATGCGGAGCAGTGCAGCCAAAGACATGGCAGCCAGGCAGCATAGACAAGATTCTGCCCTCACCCCATCGTGCCCAGTTGATGCTGCAGGGCGCGGGCAGAGGGCGTGGCTGCCATAGCGCTGCTGGGCTGCCTGGGTGATCTGCAGCGGGCTCTGGAGGCGGTGAGTGGCCCTGCAAGCAGACGGAGGTGGAGCGGGGGCGGGGCCAGTTTTTGGGCACTCAGACTATAAAAGGTTCGCCATCACTGCTATATAGCTTAGTATTGTGCTTTCATATTACTAAAATGTAATCATTGGAATTAGTTAATTTATTCGCAGTATTCACCATCAGTGGAGAGTCCAGAAACAAAACAGAGTAAAAGAATGAATAAATATAAAATATAACGTCCAGTATACATACTATAAACAGTGTAATGGCCATCCACTATTACCCAAATTCAAAGGCACATTAGAATGGGATGGTGGTAACAGTCTTACGGAATATGCTTGGAAGGATGCTGCCAAATGTGACCCAAGAGGGAGCTTGTTGCAGTGCATGGGAGCTATTACTTAAAAAGTCCTGCCAAAGTATTTTAAGGTNGAACTGATCCCGAGTCACTTTTTTCAGTGCCATTGTAACTTTGTACGGTTGCTAAATAAATGATTGTAAGTCAAGGACTACCTGTAATACAACGTATATTTACTGAACAAGTCTTTGCTTCTTGTGATGCACATCACTGAAGCCCCAATTCCTTTTGTATATGATTTATTATTTCTTTTGCCAAGCATTAGTTGCTTCTTTCATTAAACAGTAAGCCCAAAGCCTCATTTATTAATGAACTTCAAATTAGCATGTCTTGTTAAAAGAGCCAGTTTAGTGTACCAGCATAGACCCCATGAGATTGTGAGTTCTAGTCCTATCTTAGCCACAAAGCCAAGTGGGTAATCTTGGCCCAGTCACTCTCTCTCAGCTCTAGGAACCAGGCAATGGGTAAGCCATTTCTGAAAAATCTTGCCAAGAAAGCTCCAGGGACTTGTCCAGGCAGTTACCAGGAGTCAAAACTTCATTGGAGGAACAACAAAACAACAAAATCCAAGACCCCTTTTTACAAGTTCTTGCTTATTCATTTATAAGCTTTGCTTACCTAAATATATATACTTCCTGCTTTTATTTTGGCATCCTTTCTCAGCCTGGTGCCCTCAGACTCACTGGGAATACAAGAACAGGCCAGCATCAGGAAGTTGGGAGTTCAGGAAAGCATAATGTATCTACGATCAGAGCCAAAACTAGAAGGGTCTAAGTAAGACAAGGCAGCGTTCCCTTGGTGAGATTCTCCGAAGAGATTAATAGAAGGGGTGAAAGGCTACACTGTGGGCAGAGGAAGCAAAGATCGGGAGGCAGCATGGTTACTTTCTCCGTGTCTTTAGAAGGGTTCCGGCCCTCAGATTCAATCATTTAGTGTTATCTCTGAAATATGTTTTAATTCTTGTAAAATGCAACTTTGAAAAAAAAAATCATAACCGCGAGAGCTGCTAGCCTGAGCATTTCCAGGCGATTGTTCTAGAATGGGTTCCGGTTTTGAGAAGAGAATTGCTGGCATGTATGGTGCCTTGCAATAGATTCATATTTATGCTTTTGGTTTGTTTTACCTTAAAGCGAAGCAACTAGATTTTATTAACTGATTTTGTCATAACGTTCTGATGAGGCGCGGGGGGGGGGAGCAACCAAGCAGCTTTGGAGGAAGTTTGCAGGAAGCAAGTAGAAAAATTGCCCGGAAAAAGAAGTATGGTGAAGGGCGTCCTCTAGGTCCGGTCCCAAAATAGAGAAGTGGCTTTAACAGAAATTTCCATTCGGGTTAGCAGTCCCTCCGAGTGAACAATCCCATTCCTCAATTCCTATTGGCAAAAAAAAAAAAAAAAGTCTTACCCAGCAAGGTCAGTTTGTTGTTCTGTTGAGATCATTTCGTAACTTTGATACTTCCCGCCGTTGCTAAAAAGAAGCCACGCTACTTTTGTGGAGGAAAATACGCGCGCTCAGAGTGCGGAACTGCTGCGATCGATCGTCTGACGTTTGCACATCGCTGAGGACAGAAGCCTCATTTTTTTCCAAGAATCGGGACTTTTTTTGTTAAAGGAAGAGCTGCTCCCGTTCCTTCCGTGCATTCACAAGTCTTCTCAC